GGGTGTCTCAGGGCAGGGAGGGGGGCTGGCCTGCAGCCCCGAGAGCCATGAGTGACAGTGATGCAAGCAGTCACTGTACCTGCCCAGCAGCTGCAGAGGACTCCAAAGGGAAACACGGAAAAAGGAAAAAATCTGCAAGTAACTGCTTCAGATTCTCTGGGCCAAGGGCTCAGGCGTCACCGTTCGGCGCAGTGGTGGCAGAAGCAAGACTGTGTGGCTCTTGAAGGGGAAATGATGAGGCGGTGGATAAAGGGCGGAAGAAGGAGGCATTGCCTGGCCACACAGTGCCAGCCCCGGCAGTGAGGCAGGCCAGAAGGTCCTGCAACCCTGGCCACTCCCTCTGTGCCCCTGTGACCTCTACCAGGGCTCCACTCCACCCAGAGGGTCCCCAGGAGACCACATCAGGGCTCCTGCAGACAGGGCCGGGCGGGAGGCGGACCCGACCCGACTCACCCGACCCTCCCAGGCTGGTAGGGTGCAGGCCCAGAGCCCCCAGCAGCTTGTCACCTTGACCCAGTCCCGCCCAGGCCCACTACCCAGCGCCCAGGTGGCCAGGGACCAGTAGGCCCCAAGGAGAGGAGAGAACCAGCACTGGGCCCGCTTGCCAGGGAGCGTGGGTTCCCGCTGAGAGCCCAGCCTGTGCCCAGGGGTGGCCACGGGGGCAGGGGCCTTCGACCAGAGCTCTGGAGTTCAGAAGGAGGACACCCATCCGCGGGGTGGGCCCAGTGGGCCAGGAGAGCTGCGCGAGGGCCAGAGCCCAGGCCTTGCTCGGCACGGGGCTGGAGGGCGGCTGTGGGGCCAAATCGGGGCACGCGCCTTTCCTGGCCCGCAGAGGGCGGGGTGTCGCCCAGGCCGGAACCGCGCACGCACCCCGCACCCGCACCCGGCGGCGGCCGGGCGGAGGGAAAGTTGGCAGGAGCGCGGCGCCGCGGGGGAAGCGTTCATGGGCGGCCGCGTGGGAGCCGCGCGCCCGCTCGCCCACGTCACGCCGGTGCGGGCTCGGCTGACAACCGCGGCGCCTGGGGACGCCGGCGCGCTCTGCTCGCCAGGTGCTCCGCCTGGAAATGTCTCCATTAGTTGTCGCCCGCTCCCCTCCGGAGCGCGCGCGCCGAGCGGCCGCGCAGAGCCCTCGTGGGCGGCCAGGAGCGGCCCAGCGCCCCCGCAGGTAGGCGAATCCCGGTCCCGGACCGGTCCCGTCCCGCGCGCCGCCCCCGCCCCCGCCCCCGCCCCGGGCTCCGAGACCCCTCCCCCTGCGCGGGGGGCGGAGGCGCGCGCGGCGCCGAGGGGCGCGGGCGGTGGTGGCGCGGCGACTCGGTACGTCCTGGGCTGCGCCCTGCTCCGCGGCCCGGGCGGGCGCTCCCGGCGCAGGTAGGCTCGAGCTCGGCCACGCAAACTTTGCGAGGGTCGCTCAGGCGCTGGAGGGGACAAAGTTTTCTGCTCGCCGCCGGGGCCTCCGGAGGGCGCCGCGCAGACTGCAAGTTTCGGGAAGCGGCACGGGGAGGGACGCGAGGCTCAAGGCGCGGGGCGCGGGCAGAGCCGAGGGCAGGGGGAGGGGGCGCCGCGGCTGAGCGCAGGGACGGGGCCCGGGGGCATCTGGGGACCGGACTCGGCGGGCACCCTGGGCGGGGGGGAGCGCCCCAGGGTTCGCCCAAGCTGCACTCGACGCCTGGAGCGAGCGGCTCCAGGCCCAGGCGCCTGCCGACAGCGAGCAGAGTGGGCGCCCAGGCTTGGCCCAAGGCCTCAGGAGAGAGACCCTTGCCGGGCACCCGGACTCCCGCCTGTATCTTGGCCGGGTCAACTTTCCTGGGCTAGAAAGCGCTCCCGAAAGGGTGGCCTGGTTCAGTCTGGCTCCAGGACTGGGCTGGTCACAGGAATGCTGGGCCGGGCCAGTCTCCCTGAGGCCTCCCCTCTCAGAGGGCCCACACCAGTTCTGCCAAAACAGGTGGCCCACGGGCTCCTGGCGTTCTGGACTGAGGCCCTCCGCCCCTGCGTCCTGCTCAGGCCCTCTCCGAACTGTTTCAGAGCTTTCACCGAAGCTGGGCTGCCCAGTCCAGGGAGCTGCTGTGTTTATACCTCGGCCTCTGCAGGCTTGGGGCGCAGCATGCCTCGAGGACTCCTGGGGGTCTATCTGCTCTTGCTGAACTGGTGCCTCAGCTCAAGGCTCTGGCTTTTAGAAAGGTCATTGGACAGCTGCCCCTGTACTCCTGGGATACGGGTGGCCTAGTGCCCTTGACCCGGGCAGGGGCCAGGGCCAGACTGCAGGTCACCACAGGCTATCTGTGGGCATAAGAAGCAGCTGGCAGACTGACCTTGCGTCCAGGATTGGAGAGGGGGCCTGAGTGGACCAGACAAGGTCGTGAGAGCCCTGCGTGGCTGGCTGAGCCCCCCAGGCGCTTGGGCCCGCCCCGAAGTAGGTGGAGATGGATGTGCAGCAGCCAGAAAGTGGGGTCCAGCAATCCAGGTCTCCAGGTGTGGGAAGGGTCGCTCCGGAGAACTAGGGGCTGCTGGGGACTAGAAGGCTGTGCAGGCTGAAAGGCAAACCCCAGGATGTTGGAGGAGCCGGATGAAGCCCATAACCCCTCAAAGCTCCCCACGGACTGCATGCTCCCACCCAGGGCCAGGTGGGGCATAGCGCTCAGAAGAAGAGGGCAACCTGTTCAGGGCAGCCTTCGGGAGGGCTGGGACAGGTCTCCTGGGAAGCAAAGGGCGCGGCCTGGGTGGAGCCCCAAGACCCAGGCCCGGGAGGCCGGGGAGACCCGGCCCAGCTGCGCTTCCCGGCCTGGGCTGGGGAGGGAGCTTCAGAAGGGCCAGTGATGGGGAGCAACGCCCGTCTCCCGGGGGCCCGGCCTCACCTGACCTCGTCTTCGGGAGAGAGCGGGTTGTTTGTAAACAATAAATAATGGAAAGTAGGGGACGCTGGGCTGCAGAACTAGTGGGCCTGGGAGGAGGGAGATGGGGGAAGGGAGGACAGGAGGAAGAGGGAGACCAGATTCATTTCCACCCGAGAAGCCCCGTGGCTACTTTCTGATTATTTACAGGAAGGCGGTATTAGCAATTCAGGTGAGAAAGAAAGAAACGGCCTGCCACGAAATCAATACAGAATTCAAAAACAATTATTAATGTCATTTGACTCGTGTTCTTTATATACCTCTCCCAGCTACGGCGCTAAACTGTCTGAATAATCTGCATGGGGCGGCTATTCATTATTTCCGAAGGTTTCCCTTTGCCAGCCTCTCGGACGCGGCCGGCTTCGGTCCAGCGCGATCAGCGAACTGTATTTTCATCTGTAAATTAAAGCAATTACGCAGCAGATATTATATGATGTGTGCTGCGGTCTCCAGATAGTCATCAATCACCTTCAACAGAGCTGTCAGAGGCGCAGATTCCGTTTCTGGGAGGCAGCCTCGCAGCTGGGGAGAGGGTGAAAACGTCATCATTAATTAGAGGGTGACCCCGGGGCTATTCACAGGTCTGCGCCCAGGAATCTTCCTGAGCAAGTCTGCACAGAGCCCCCGCGTGGTTCCGCTCCGGCCCAGCCGAGCGGCAGGGCGAGCTTAGCTCGGGCCTCAAGGACCGCGGAGCCCCAGGCCGGGCGCGAGTTCCGGGGAACCTGGCCTCCAGCGCTCCGGGCTCCGGCAGAACTCGGGCGTCCTGACCCCTCCCCGGGTTCCCGTGCGGCCCAGGCTGGAAGCGGCGCGGTGCGGGGGCACCTCGGGCAAGTGCCCAACACCTCTCTCCCCAGCGCCTCGGCCTGCCCGGCTCGGCCGGGTGCAGCGAGCCGCCCAGGCGCCCTGCCGAGTTGGGAACCCGCTCTCGCCTCGAGCTCGGGCAGGGGCGTCCGGCAGCCCGGAGCTCGACCAGGAGGGGCAGAGGGCGCCCCGGGGGCGGAGAAGCGGCAGGGGAGCGAAGGCGGTGGCGGGCCGAGGGGGAACTTCGGTGACCTGTGGGGGAGGGGCCTCCGCTGGGGTCGCCTAGGTCCTGCGTGGCATAGCCGCGGGCGCGGTTCTAGGGAGGCGCCGCAGCTCCTGCCCCGCGACCCGGGGTGCTGGGCATGGGGCCAGTGTGGGGACTGCTGGTGGCCCAGAACGCGGGGCAGGGCTGCGGCGCCGGGACGCGCCGCGGCGAACAATGGTGCGCGGGGCGCCCCTCCACCCGGACGCGGCCCATCTTGAGCGTTGATTACATCTTCACCCGAGACTCACCCGCGTGTCCCCTCCTAGATCTCATTTGTAATTGAGACTAATGATTATAGGGGGGCGGGAAGGAGCAGCTGCTCATTAATTAATTTCTAATTAAAAGTGCCTTCCGTGCCGGTGACTAAGGAGGAACACGCTTCGCCAGGGCGGTATCGACTCCGGGGACGGAGCCCATTTGTTAGCGCCCAGCGCCCCGCGCCCCGCCCGGCCCGGGCCGAGTGACCCGCGCGTCCGCGGCCGGCGTGGGCTGACGTCAGCGCCCTGCAGAGAGAGCGGCGCACGTCCGACTTGACGGTTCGCGCGACACATTTGCTCCCATATTTTGCAAAATATGTATTTCTGTCGCCACTGCGAGGCCGGTCGGTCCCAGAGACCCCTCCAGGCGCCGGGTTTGGAAGCGGAGGCCGCCACCGCTCACTTTCCGGCCCGGCTGGAAAAGTTGGTGGCGGGGCGCGGTAACCGGCTCCCTCGCTTCGCCCTCCCAGCGCCTAGGAGCCCGCCGCCCCGCCCCGCAGCCAGCCCCGCCGCGCCCCGGGCCGCCCGCCATGTCCTACCCGCAGTTCGGATACCCCTACGCTTCCGCCCCGCAGGTAAGGGGGCCGCGGCGAGGCCCGCCCTGAGCCCGCTTGTGCCCCGCGGGCGCCAGAGCCCCAGCCAGACGAGGCCCCAGCCGGAGCAGGCCCCAGCCAGGACGAGGCCCCGGGCGCAAGTGGCCCAGGCGGCCGGGCGGGCGGGAGGGCGCGGGTGGGGCCGGGCGGCCGTGGGGTCGGCGCACCCTTCCTCGCCCTCTCCCCGCAGCTGCTCATGGCCGCCAACTCCCTGGGCGCGTGCTGCGAGCCTGGCGGCCGCGCGCTGCCCGAGTCCAGCCCCGCCGCGCCCGCGCAGGCGCCCGTCTACTGCCCGGTCTACGAGGGCCGGCTTCTGGCTGCCGCGCGCCACGACCTGGGCTCGGCGGCGCTCGGCGTCTACGGGGGCCCCTACGCCGGCGCGCAGGGCTACGGCAGCTACGCCGCCTACGGCTCCGAGGCGTCGGCCTTCTACTCGCTGGTGAGGCCCCACGCCCGCTCCAGCGCGGGCCACCGCTCCCCAGCTGCGGGGGTGGGGGGACGCCGTATCGGGCGTGTGTATTGTCTTCCTTCTAATCCATCACTGGCTCGGGCGGAGCGCACACCCAGGCCTCCAGGGCCCGCGGGCGGCTCCGCTCCCTCCCCTCTCCTCCCCCTTCCGCTCCCCTCCCCCTCTTCCCCTCACCCCACCTTTAGCCTTCTCTCCATCCCAGTTCCCTGACTCTCTTCCTCCTCGAGCCACCCTAGGGAACCTGGTACCGGGACGGGGCTCTCCCGAGGGCCCGCCCGAGGACGGGGCTGCGAGCCGGGGTGTGTCCCCGAGCTGTGACCCCAGACGCCTCCCTGGCTCCTACAGAACAGCTTCGACTCTAAGGATGGGTCGGGATCTGCCCACTCGGGGCTCGCACCAGCCGCAGCCGCCTACTACCCCTACGAGCCTGCCCTGGGCCAGTACCCCTATGACAGGTGAGGGACCTCCAGCCACTACGCCTCCATGCCCATCCGGGAAGGGGGGTCCTGCTCTTCACCACCCCTGTACCTTGCCACAGCCGCCCCACACACACCCCTTCTTTGGGGACCGCTAGGATCCTCTGGGTGCTGGGGCTTTTCGGGCAGACCGGTCTCAAAGGCCCAGGAGGCCAGGCCAAGCAGGGCCTTGGGTGCCGCCCTGCACCCCAGGAGGTGCAGCCCTCTCCCCTGCAGGGGAACCCGAGGAGGAAACCCCACACCCAGCCTGGGACAAGAGGCGCAGACACCCCAGTTCAGCACAGCCACTGAGCCCTCATTGGCTACTCCACCTGGTGTGAGGCCCTTTCTGCCTAGGGCCTACACGTTAGGGTGCAGGCTCCTGTGTCTGCGATATGTGTTTACGGTTTGCAGATCAAAGGCGGAGGAGCAGAGCCCCGAGTGACAGAGGCCATGACCTCGCTTGGGAAGGAGCCAGCTCCCTGTCATTTTAATAACATTATCTTCGCCCTGGGCCACAAAAGGCAGGGCGGCACCCACCCCAGGCTGGGTCCCCGGCGGACCCCAGTCAAGCAGCCCTAATAAGCGCAGACCTTCCGGAGGCAGAGCCCTGGTCTGTGCCAGCCACCCCCACCCCACGACCCCCGTCTGCAGGTACGGGACCATGGACAGCGGCACACGGCGCAAGAACGCCACCCGCGAGACCACCAGCACGCTGAAGGCCTGGCTGCAGGAGCACCGCAAGAACCCCTACCCCACCAAGGGCGAGAAGATCATGCTGGCCATCATCACCAAGATGACCCTCACGCAGGTCTCCACCTGGTTCGCCAACGCGCGCCGGCGCCTCAAGAAGGAGAACAAGATGACGTGGCCAGCCAGGAACAAGTGCACGGACGAGAAGCGGCCCTATGCGGAAGGCGAGGAGGCCGACCAGGAGGAGGCCGGGGAGGAGCCCCTCAAAAGCGCCAAGACTGAAGGTGCTGGGAGGTTGGCCTTGGGGATCAGCCCGGCACCCTTCCCGCGGTTAGGACACCGGGGCGGCGAAGTGGGCGAAGGGTCCGGGCCCCCAAGCACTTGGAGCCTTCCTTCTGTAGGCCCTGGGGTGCTTACAGAACCAGGCCCACTTTGCCCTGGGGTGCCCGCCTTGATTCCCAGCCGAACCCCACCCCGTCTTTCTATTGGTAATACCTGAAGGAGAGGGGAGGCTGGGAGGGGCCTGGCACTTGGCCCACCCCGCTCGGGATGGGTCCCCCCCCCTCCGGGTTTAAGAGGAGGCAGCGCCCGGACTGACCTCTGCCCTGTTCCCTCCAGTGATGGAGCCTGTGGGCAAAGAGGACAAGGAGCTGGAGCTCAGCGACCTGGATGACTTCGACCCCCTGGAGGCCGAGCCCCAGGACTGCGAGCTGAAGGCGTCCTTCTCCGCCCTGGACAGTGGCACCCTGGAGCGCGTCCCCCGACGGCCGGAGGGCCCCACCCCTCTCCCGGGTGCCCCAGGCAAGGAGGCCTCGGGCGCCCTCAGGATGCCCCTGGCTGCCGCAGGAGGGGCCGCCCTGGAGGAGGACCTGGAGAGCGCCGGGATCTGCCTCCGGAGCTCAGGGGCAGGGCCGGAGCCACAGCTGGGCCCAGAGGGCCGCCCTCGGGCCTGCGAGGCCAAACTGGGCTTCCCGCCCACCCAGAGCGGGGCATCGGGGGCGCTGGAGACCAAGCCACGCATCTGGTCCCTGGCCCACACCGCCACTGCCTCCGCAGCCACCACCCTGAACCAGACGGAGTTTCCCTCCTGCATGCTCAAGCGCCAAGGCCCCGTGGCCCCTGCAGGCGTATCCCCGACGCCCGCCACATCCTCACCCGTAGTCCTGGCCTCCTCTGTGGCCCTGGAGAGGCACCAGGACTCCCCAGTGACCAGCCTCAGAAACTGGGTGGACGGGGTCTTCCACGACCCCATACTCAGGCACAGCACTTTGAACCAGGCTTGGGCCACTGCCAAGGGCACCCTCCTGGATCCGGGGCCACTGGGACGCTCGGTGGGGGCGGGCACCAATGTGCTGACGGCGCCCCTGGCCCGAGCCTTCCCGCCCACTGCACCCCAGGACACCCCAGCTGCGGGCACCGCCCGGGATCTGCTGGCCCTGCCCAAGGCGGGCGGCAAGCCCTTCTGCACCTGAGCCTGAGGTCCAGGTGGGGAGGGCGGGGCTCTTTTCTACTGAGATTCCAAAGGAAGGTGAGGCCAGCCGCCTGCGGAGAGGGAGGAGCTGCAGTGGTCTCCCAGGGCTTTGGGCGGAGCCCTGTCTGCCGTCCCACCCGGTCCGGAGTCAACTCCGCCAGCCTTCCGGAACTCCAAACCTGCCTGAGTGCTCAGAGCAGCGGGAGACCCAAGCATAAAGTTTACGTCCAAAGTTTACATGGGGAAGGCGTTTGGGTTCCAGGCATGCAGTGTGGGCTGCAGAGCACAGCCCCTCATCTGACTCCATCCTGCCGGCAGCGCTCACCGACAGCACCTCCACCAACTGCACACGGCTGCACACTCCCGACTGAAACAGTTACGCTTTTTTAAATGTTATGTGCACACCAATAATTGCCTGCTTCAGAGAGAGGCAGATATAACAAAACCAATAAAACCTTGTGGCGGTGTTTGCGTTGCAGAAAAGAACACGTTTGGAACCCTGGGACTTGCTGGGTGGGTGTGCACCAGAGTCCACCCCACTCAAGTCCCTGCCAACCCAGGACCAGGATGGTCACTCTGAAGTTACGAGGTGCGTGGGACTGGAAATGTAAATTCTTCCTCTTTGCCAGACTCCAGGATGTTCTTGGGGGTTACCAGGGATCGAACCAAGGCAGGCCCTGTGCCACTGAGCCAAATCCCCGGCCCCAACTCCAGGATTTTGAGCAAAGGGGTTGCTTTGACTGAATTAGAATTAAGCTTTCTGAAGTCCAGAGGCTCGGTCCTGGGGTGGGGCCATCTCTGCTCCCTGCCTCTCCCTTGGCACACCCTTCTCCGGAGTCTGGCAGCCTTGGGCAGTGCCCACCGCCCCACCCCGCCTGCCCTCCCTTAGGGACCGGCTTTCCGCTTCCACTGCTCGGAAAGTGAAACGCAAAGCCGAGAGCCCTCTCTGGAGGAGCCCCCTGGGGGCTGGGAAGGCAAGGGCGGAGCCTTCCTGTGGTTCCCGCCCTGGGCACCTGCAGCCAAGCGTGATACTGGGTTCCCCACTCGTGTCCCCGGCCTGCTGGTGGTGCCCATTGAGTCGGAGGTCTTCGCCCTCTCCCTCCCTGTGGTGTCAGGCTGGCGCCTGCTCCTGGCTCTCCATGTGCCCAGAAGCCCCGGGCTCTGGGTCCCCTCCTGCCTCTGGAGTATGCAGTGTGCAAGGGAGATGAGAGTGGGAGCCTTGTGCTGATGAGCACGAGCGAGGCGGCCTGTCCCAGTCCTTGCCCCCGGTGGCCAGCACAGAGTCCACTTCCCAGGCAGGATGGGTGCTGCAGAGCTTGCCTCCTGGAGCCAGGTGGGTGGGACGGCCCCACAGAGTCCCACGCTCTGGAAATGGCCCCGGGCGGGCCAGGCCCAGAGGAGAGCAGGCCTGATGGCTCAGAGGGCTGGTATCGGGTGAGTCTCGGCAGCCCCTAGAGACACTACCGCTGCGCTGGGTTTCTGGGCCTCGCTGGGTACCCCAGTGTTGGGGCCCACCCTGGCCCCAGACAGGGAGCTGGGCCCCCAGGCCCCGAGTTCGGACCCTGAGTGCAGACCCCAGCCGCCCCTGAGCCGGGCCAGCCACGCGGTAATTGGATTGTACCAGCCTGGCGCTGTCACCGCGTTGACTTTCGCTCCCGTGGATGATATTATCGAGATTCGGAAGCTCACCGCTGATGTGCCTGTCAAAAGCCTGCAGCAGGAGCCCCCGGCCTGGCGAGCGAGCATCAGCCAAGATAATTTGAAGTGAAATTTTCATTTTGACAGTAAACCCCTCAATTTCTAAAGGCTGCGCGCTCCAAGAGCTCCATGGCAGGGAGGCTTTGCAGAAAGCCCATGTCTTAGACTGAAAAGGGCAAAAGAACTCGAATTAGTTGTAATAGATAAAAGGGCAAAAATAAAGAGCCAAGGGTACTTGACAGTAATAGCGAAAGTGGAGTCTCCGGGGAGACTTGTTTCGGCCGGAGGCTGGGGCGGCAGGAATTTTAATGCGGCTGCGGAGGGCAGCGAGCGCGCCCCCACCCTAGCCCTAGACAAAGCCAGGCCTTTCCCAGAAAAGGAGGCTTCCCAGGCCGGCCTCAGGGTGACAGCTGCGGAGGCAGAATCGGGTCTGGGCGGGGCCTGGAGCCCCCCCCCCGCCCCGTCCCGCTGAGGGCGGAGCTCGGGCACACCCTCCAGAGAGCGGCGGCAGCCCAGGTTCCAGATCGCTGCTCTGCAGCCCCAACTAGCCACCCTGGGGACCTCTGGCAGCACTAGGAATCCCACGTCCCAGGAGCCCCGTCCCGGGGGAATAGCTGCCCAAAGTGCCTTATTTACATCATCCTCGAGACAATGAAACACAGGCATCAGGGGGAGGCGCCTCGGCACACGCTAGGGGCCACACAGCAGAGCACACCCGAAGCTGAGCCCGTCACTCTGACCACCCCTCACTTGGGCACAGCCTGCAAGATTTGCCAGGGACCCCAGGGGTGCCATGGCGACAGTACAATCCCACAGGGGTGGGCGCCTGCGCAGGAGAGCACGGGAGGTCGTGGGCTCAGGCAGAGCCTCGGGGCAGCATCTCAGGGGCTTCTCCAGGGAGAGGGTGTCAGGAAGGGGCTGGGGCCAGAGCGGCAGCGCCGGACGCACTGGCCACTCAGGCGTGGCAAATGCAAACACTCCGAGGAGAGGCTAAATTAACGGTGCTCTTTACATAGAGCCCAAATAAAACTGTAATCAGCGGCGCGTTACTTTTCATTAAGCGAGTCTGACAGCAGCATATTCAGGCCCGACCGGGAGCAGGCGTGGGAAATATACGGCTTCCCCGGCCAGCAGGCCCGGGCTAAGATAATTCCTTAAGCTCCATTAACAGCTCGTAGCCGCAGGAAATGGGCTCAGGAAAACATCTCCAAATCTAAAAGCTTTATCGACCCCTCAAACCGTGGCTGATGATGGTTCCATTTTTTTCTTTTTTTCCTTCCCTTTCCTTTCTTCCTCCTCCCTCTCTCTCTCTCTCTCTCTCTCTCTCTCTCTCTCTCTCTCTCTCTCTCTCTCTCTCTCTCTCTCTCTCTCTCTCCTTAAGGAGAGACATCCAGCTAGGTAATAGAGTCTGACAGGACACCTTCTTAACTAGAGAGAGGCAGGAAACCGGCCCTTAAATGATATTTAAAAGCCAACCAATTAAGATTTAAAGTGGTCATCTCCTGAGATTATGCAGGCGATTTATGCCACCTACTCCTCGGCAGGCAGCCTGGGCTGCTGCGCTGATGAGACAGCCCTGCCAGGCTTCTCCCCCACTGACGGAAACCAGAGGAGCAGCCCTTTCTTCTGTGCAAGGGTTCTCGGCTGCCCTCAGGAAGGCACACCCCGGTGGCCTCTCACGGACAGCCCTGCTTGTGGGCACAGGACCCAAGACAGTCAACAGCGGAAGAAACGCTAACCTCCCCTTCCAGGCCCCTGAAGTGTTGCCTCCTTCAGTCCTGGAGATGCGGGCTCCTGGGGAAGCCAGGAGAGGCCAAAGTTCGCCCACCCAGGGGTGCGGCCAGTTTGTTCTCATTGGAGCCCCAAGCCTAGGGCCCCTGTGGGAAGGCACAGGGCCCAGTGACCCTTTGGTGTGACCAGGGCCAGAACAATAGGACAGGGGAGGACTTAGGACCCAGGAGCAGAGGCCTGGGCCAGGGGGAGTCAGGGCAGAGGGCCACCTTCTTTGCTGGGCACTTCATAGAAGCCAGGTCACAAATCACCTTTCCTAGCACCTAGGGAGGCAGCACTGGGGAGCAGTGAGGAGGCTGAAGACCCGCTCACACACTCCGGCCATGCCCAGCAACTCCTCCTGCTCCCACCCCAGGCCCCCAGGAGGGTGCTCCCGAGCCCCAAACCTCCCGTGCAGCTCAAACTTCAAGGGTGATCCCATCCCAGTGCCAGCACCCCCAAACGTGGCCTCAGGGCCTCGCAGCGGCTGCTCCTCCTCGGGCCTGAAGCCTAAGTGTGGGTTCAGGAAGCTGACACAGCTCTGGGGCCTCAGGCCTGGGCAGAGACACAGAGCTGGAAGGGCTGCTGGGGTGGGGGTCCGGAGTTCTGGTCCCGCTCCAGTTCCAGGGCCCACTACACTCTGCACGGAGCGCCCTCACGAGAAGTCCTGCTCTGCTGATAGCTCTGCTTTTCAGAAGCTGCATCACCACCCAGGGAGCTGTGTGCCATCCATGGGGACTCGCGCCCCACTGGCCACAGGACCCTGTGATCAAGCACCATGGGGTGCTGAGCTCCCACTCTGGGGCTGGTGGGGTTCCCCAACAGTTGAGCACCCCAGGCCCTGAGCAGCACAGCTGTGAAGGGACGACCCTGGCTTTGGGGTGCAGGACAGAATGTACAAATGTGGCCCCAGCCTGGGGTCGCTGTGAGCAGCCAGGACCCTGACAGCTGAGGAAGACCCTGGGCCCAAGCACGAGTCCAGGCCACTGGGAAGGACGAGGCCACGGTGCCTGAGCCCAGGGTCACCTGTGGGTGGGACACACAAGCTCCTTTGTTTGGGGACAGAATGTTGTCAGGAGGGAAAGGAGGAGGAAGCAGAGGGCCTGGCCAGGCGGCGCAGGAGGGGATTGGGGGGCTGCAAAGAAGGTGCAGTGCCCACCTGAGCGAAGGCAGCTCTGTATGTGAGCTCACACTGCACCAACTGGGCAGGAGGGGTCTGCGTGCACTGAGCTTGAGCCAGGAAGTCCCAGAGCAGAGCCATAAGTATGGGGTATCAGAGCACAGCACGGGGCCAGGGTGCGTGCTGCACAGGAGCCGTGGGACCTTCCATCCTCAGCTCAGGGGGTACCTCACCCCACCTTGCCCATACACCTGAGCCCGGGGACTGAGCACGACGGGCACCTAGTTCAGGGCTGCAGGCTCCAGGCTCTCCCAGGATCACCCAGGCATGACAGGATGGGGTGGCCAGGGATATGAGATGCTTGTACACACACAAGCGTACACGTGCCCATTCAGTATGCACACATGCATGCACACACTGACACCCTTGCCTGGGATTACCCTCTCCTTTCTGTCTCTGGTTCTTTCTTTGCCTCTCTCCCTCCCTCCCTCTCACAAACACACACTCCAATGCACACACATGCACACATGTGCACACACGCACATACGTGGGGCTGCTGAGTCCCAGGCCAGTGGTGACCCCAGGCAGGCAGTGGCCTCCGGTAGGTGCAGAGCTGTCCTGGAAGGAACCTGTGTGCTTTGCCTGCCCAGGGCCCCAGGCCTTTGTTTCGTGGGGAGCAAGGAGGAGACCTTGCTGGCTCCAGGGCACTGTTGCTGCTACCTGCTGCTGGGAGGGGACTTTGCTCCCGGGCCAGCCTGGTGACCAAGCCACGTATGTATCGGGAGGACACGGGGAGGCAGCCCGGCCTGCACCCAGCAGCATGGCCCTGCTACACCCACATCTGTGGGCCCTGCTCAGTCTGCCCTCCCTGGGAGTGGGGTGCTGCCCCACCAGCGCACCCTGCACCAGGACCCCATCCCAGCACCTGCCTAGGATTCCAGGAGCTCGGCTGGGTCCTCAAGGCAGGATAGTGTCTC